GCTCTTCCGATCTAGGGCGACTCTGAGCCGAGGAAGGTAATGGAGGATGGAGGGGGCGGAGGGACGGTGAGGGGTCCTTGCCGCCCCGTAGCCTCCCTCCGCGGCCCGGCTTGAGGCGGGCGGCTGAGGAAGCTGCGGTCCCGCCTCGCTTCGGCCGGGCCGGGCCTGCGATCCCCACAGCAGCAGGCGGCGCGCGGAGCCTGTCAGGCGGCCTGAGGGCTCCCCCCGCCCCGCTGAAGCGCAGCCGGGCGCCGGGAGGAGGAGGATGAGGATGAGGATGAGGAGGGCTCCCCGCGCCCCCGAAAGGCGAGGGGGAGCGCCGTGCCGGGGGGAGGAGCGGGTATCGCAGGGCAGCGGCGATCCCGGCTGGTTTTGCTCCAGAGGAAACGAGGAGGGAACAATCCCCGGAAAGCGGCGGCGGAGCCGGGGCTCTGCGGGGCGGGGGGGCTGTGTTTGTTTTTTCCCGGACCCCGCTGCCGGGCTCTCTGCCCGCGGGCGGAACCCTGTGGGGACACTTGAGCCTTGGTAGCGGCGGGAGTCACAACAAGTGATTTCAAGTGTCGCAACAGGTGAAATACTATTTTAAAAGGATGCATCATGCCGCGAGGCTGCAGCAGGAGTACCTTCTTAGCCAATAACAGCAACATATCAAGTGACTTATTCCGTAGCAGAGTACTTGAAATTACTCATTAGGAGACCGGACCAAATCCTTTTTGTCTCGTTTGCACACAGGGGTTATGTGGAAACAGCTGATGGTCGTCCCTAGGGAACATAGATAAAATTATTGATGGGGATTTCCATACTTGCATACAAATCCAGCTGTTACCAGATGCTTGCCATCCCTTATGCCCCGGTCAGAGGTGTTTCACAATGACTTGCCTCACAGAGTTGCCAGCCCTCCACACATAGTTGACTATAGTACTCCTTCTTCAAAATCTACTCTGCCCAAGTGCAATAGCCTTACAAAAAATCAAAAGCATTTAAAAGTCATCTTTCAAGATTTTAGTTCATACAGTTGCACATGTGGCATTTAATGGTCTAAGGATTCAAACACAGTAGAATGAAGGCTAATTCTTATGCCATCCCTAACAAAATAGCAGAAAGAGGTGCAGATGTTACTTCAGTGTGGCCACCTTAACCCTGACCCAAGTCATCTTGAGGCCTTTTTGGATGTGGCTTCCCACTTCTGCCTGAGGTGCCAATCTGCATTTGCAGGGATATTTGTCAGGTGGGAAATATCGGTAATATTCAAGTTAGAAGACTTGGGTCATGCAGAAGCCAGTGTAGACATCTCTGAAATGAAAAATGTGTTTGTCAGTTCACAGCTGGGTTTATGAATGCCATGCGAAATTACCATTTGAAAATCAAATAGAAAACTGATTGGGATAAGCTAGAGTAGGTTATAGATGTGAGACAGAGTTTGAAATAGTTTTAATAATTTTTACCAGTAGGTTTATTTAAAAACTTCTGTGTTGTATATGGAAGAATTTCTGTGCACAACCCCTGCCTGTGGATAGGATTAGGTTAAAAATTACTCGCTTATGAATGTTTTTATGCAATGCTTAGTATAAGGCGCTCTAGTACATGCACGTTCTCCAGTAATTGCACTTTTTTTAAGCACATTTGCCTTTTCAGATATTAAAATTACATGGCATAACTAACTGTATAATGGTTTGTAACTGTACAAGCTGTACAAATGACCTGTTTGTTGTGATGTATGTTGGTTTGAATAGAGATCCTGGATTCTTAAGGGATTTTTCGCTTCCTTTTTGGGGGAATGTAAAGAATGAAATAGCTCTTTTATAAGATTCAATAGAAAGGATGGATCAACAGGTTTGTACAGAATTATGTTGCCTAAATCAATAGTTAACTCTTCCAAAACCATTCCTGATGCACCTGTGCATGTTCATTTGTGCTCAGATATAGAGTGTGCATCTTCACTTTTTGCTCAGTTGGCATCATAGTCTTTTACAAATGTAATTTTTTAAATTTATGGTGTGGTTTCATTTTGTATTGTGGTTTGTTTTTTTTTTTTTTTACAGTCTTTTAAACTCCTAGGATTTCTTGATGTTAATAGTGTCCCATGCTCACGAGAATCAGTGCTCTATGGCTCCGTGGGATCTTTAGTTGTGGGTCTTGGACATTTTTTAGCAACTAGTAAGTACTTACTCCTTCTGGGTTTTATATATTTATATATAAAGGAAAAATTAATTCCTATTTGCTGTTAGGTTTTATTAATAATGGGAAGACATCCAAAGTTATTTCTCTAATTTTTTGGAGGATTTTTGTTTTTCTTTCAGGTAGAGTTAGAAGATCTTGTGACTTTGCAGTCGGTGGCTTTATTTGCACAATGTTAGGATACTGGTATGTAAAACGCTTCTTGAATTTTGACAGACCTATGTTGGTTGCTTTGTACAACATGATCCCTGTGTGACCATTCACATTGTTTTTGAAACTGCATAAAAAATTTGCCTAGCAAAGTGTCTTCTTCCTTCTCCCTGAAATACTTCTTATCAATGCCTTTGAATTTTTATATTATTTTTTTTTTCTAATTTGCTGTTGTTTCTTATCAAACCACCCAGTTATTTCCATCTTTCTTCTTTATTCCTTCACACATGCCATCCTTCTGTCCTAATCATATAGGCAGCATACTAAATGGTCATGAAATTAAGATCCAAATTACAGAAGTTAGCGTTCTCCATTGGACTGGTATATCCCATTCCTCAGCGCCTGCTTTATGTTTGCCTTAAAGAAATAGCAGTTACTCTGGTAGTTTCGTTATGCATCATTTCATAATGAATTTTACTAGCATTATTACATGTGGTTCCAACTTTTCAGCTGGCTGAATAACTCTGATTTGATACTGTCAGTCATGTAAAGCAGGGAATCGTGTTTTCTTTTCATCCCCTCCTCTAGGTTTTACTGCAGGTACAATTTGGCCCAACAGAGGATCCGGCAAAGGATGCTTAAAGAAGGAATGAGAAACAAACTGTTATTTGAAGGCAGTTCTCTTGATCCAGAAAGAAAACAAACTGGGAATGAAGGAAGCGATTCATAGTCTGCAACAGAGGAATCTGTGGTCTAATACAGCTTTGGGAGAAGGTGGTCCAAAAATGGCAGTCTTCCCTGTAAATGTGTGAGGTGCCTAAAACTGACAAATCATGCTGGCTTTCCTAGCAAATCCAAGCACGAAATTCCCAGCAAATCTTTTAAGTCAGTGTACAAGCCTTTATTTGTATGTATGTATGTGTGTATGTGTGTGTGTATATGACTATGTACACAGTTAAGAATGACCTCCTATTAAACATCTGGGAACTGATATGTTCTACTACAGGGTCTCAGACGATTAATGACAGTGTTTTGGGACTGCTTTCACTTCCATTATAAACAAAATGGTTCATTTCCGCAAAGCTGTACTTATGTCTCATTTAAATACAGGAAAATATTTTCATCAGCTGTTCCTTCAGTGTTACTGTCCCTTGTGCTGTTTGTGAAATCAGAGATATTTAAACAGTAGGTAAAGGCTTTGCTTGTGCAAGGTGGGTGGTAGCAGTAGTCTTTGTGGGATTGCGGCTGCGGAATAACTTCACATAGACTGTGAAGTTGAAGGATTTCCGTTTCTGTTTTGTCTGTGTGAAGCTAAGAATAAAATCACACTTCAGAAGCAGTCTAAACTATGTAAGTAATTATTCTTTTTACTTGATTAAAAATCTTGCTCTTCTATTTAAGTCAGTTCCTTAGAATTGCTGGAATAATCATTTATCTTATTTGTAAGTAGCAACATCAGTAGTTTGTTTCTGGTTTGTTTGTTTATTTTTTAAAGGCATGTTCTTGTATATTTCAGTGTACATTTTCAGTTAAATGAAATAACTGTATAATTTCAAGGAAACCATCTTATTTAGAAATACGGTGTTAGAGCTAATTGCATATTGGCAAAAAGATGGGTGATTCCGGGTTTGCTTCTGTCTACACCAGTGACACAATGTATTTACTTTTTTTCACAAAACGATTTATAGTATATTACGCTGTAAGCACTTTTTGGTCTAAAGGCATTCACTGGGCAAAAATAGCCCATTCCCCCCACCCGTACTTAGTCTGAGAGAGTTTGCAATCTGTTAACTCAAGTAGGTGTGGGGAGGTTTGGGAATCCAGATGTAAACAGCAGCATTGCTCTACTTATTTAATTTCTAAATATACATGAGAGCACTAAACAAACATGCTATTTACACTAAGATAATTAAACTTTTACCCTCTGTGGATTAGCCTCTTACAAGAAGAAAACCAACCTGTAAACTCTGGTTCCTTTTTTTTTTCCCTCCGTTCCTCCTCTTTCTTCTAGAGGAAACAATGAAAATAAATTTTACAGAGGGCGTTCAGTTCACTAGTGTTATATAAAAGGTCTCCAAAAAACCCTTGAGTTGGCGCAATGAAACGCTTTCTGTCCTCACGGCAAAGTGTAAACTCCGAAGTGGTTAACTGGTAGCAGACTCTAATCCTGCAGAGAAAAATGCTTCCCCTGGTTGTGTGCTGGGGGGAGGGAGGCTCCTTCCCTTTGGTGGGGTAGGAGGTGCTGCCTCCTAAAGCCCTGGGAGCGGCGGCGGGAAACTCCTCCATGAGCCAGGGCTTAGCAAGCCCCTATTTTAATACATGGTGGAGTTCTTTCCTGTCTGGCCTAAGAAAAGGAGCTGCAACCCAAGCAGGCGGGCTTTTGCCTGGAGGTCAGAGTTCAGCTGGGGAGTTGGGAAACAAAGGGAGCGGACCAAAAAGCACTCCTGGGCAGAGAGGGGCCGGGGAGAAAAAAGGGCATGCTGGTTTGTGCTGATAGGAAAGAAGTTAGCGTCCACAGAAATGCATCCTTCAGAGTGCCCAAGTACTGTGACTGTGTGTATAAAAAAACAGAAGCTTTATGAAGCTGTAAATTAAAAAAATCCAGGGAAAACCGCAGCATTAGATCCTCTTCGGTGTTAATTGGTGTTGGTTTAAGCTACTGCATGTAAGGCTATTAGCTCAGTAGTAGCTTAACTACAGCATTAGCCATTCTGGCCAATAAGCGTGAATTCCTGGCAGTACCTGAGCTGCGTAGGTGATAACCTACCTGATCCTCTGCCTCACTCTGCAAAACATGAAATGAGCGGGCCAGATGTTCACAGAAAAACGGGGAGAGAGAGGTGAGACGCGGGCAGCCTGGCCGGCACCCCTGAGCCTCCTTACCTGGTGAAAGTTGAGGAGGAACTGAGCTGGCCAAAAATCAGAGGTTTTGGTGCGTGGGGCCGGGGGGTGGGATAGGAGAAGGAAGCTGTGAGCAGGACTGGGGTGGTGTGATGGGGGCCCCGCAGTAGCAGAGGGAAGAATGCTCATGGTTAAACATGCCGGGGGGGGAGGAAGTCTGACATCATTCCTCAAAGCGCCAGCGCAGCTCCTCCGGCAATCCGCTCCTGGGAAGTGGGCTGAGAGGGAGTGGAGGGTCACCAGCCCCCCTGGGAAAAGAGTAACACCCCCACATCTCAAAGCCATTGTCATAAATTGGGATGCATTCACAAGAGAATAAAAATTGTAGTAACCTAGTAGAAGTAACTGTAACATTTGCAAACCGTTTCTTAACTGTTTTTTAAATTAGTGAGCCATATCCCTGTTAGTGCTAATTTTTAAAATCTAATTCATTGGTGGAAACACAGCACGCCTCGGTGTTTTGTTGGACTTGGTATCTGTAGGTATTGCTGCTAACGGCAGATGTGGCAGTTCTTGCTTTATCGAGGTTCAAAACGTTCCTCCAATTGAAACCTACTGGACAGTTACTACAAGGGAAGAGAAATCGCACTTTTGAAGGTGTTAGGTTTTCAGCCCTCTGGTGGAGCCTGGAACAGGAAAGAATGAAGGATAGAAACTTCCAGCTATAAAGCTGCTAAAATCTTGTTTTACTGACAGTTAACGTTACTTGGTCACTGAACGCTTAGTTTTATCCCTGAAGTTAGTAAAATCCTCTCTTAAAAGCAATCTAGAAGGCCACCAAAGTGAATAGCTGGGTTTGTGGCCCCATTGGCTCCCCCACACCCTACGTGTCCCCCCTGGAGCTGTAACTCTTGGGAAGAGGTGTTTTCCCGCCCCCGGGGGGGCAGGAGCCCTGGCTGGGGACCCCCAACAGCAAGCAGGGTGTGTGTCCCCCAAGCCTTTCCCCGGGGAAGGTCGCTGTCAAGGCAACAGGCTGAAAGGTGGCAATCAGGTTAATTGCCAGCTCTGTTGTTGTCAACGCCCACCCCAAATCCTGGGGCACTAGAAAGGAGGGGTCATCTCCTGGCATTAAGAAAGGAGCCAGGCTTTTGGTAGGGTCATTTTTTGGGAGGTGGAGGGGGGAAATTACATTTATTATTTCTGGTGTAAGCCACCCAGGATACAATGAAGTACTGTGTGAACTTCATTATAATGAGCTCCCAAGTGAAAGATTTTCCCCAGCTTAGCAGACTAATTCCCGTTCTGCTCTCCTTCCCGTATCGAGGCATTTAGATCAACAGCTCAGCAGTCACCAGTGAAAGTTGTTTGGTTTGCTCCGTTTAAAGTCTGAAACAAATCTGTTATTGCCATGGAAAAATGATCAAAACAAAGGTGTTACGGTATGTTCAGATGATCAAGAAGATGATCCTTTGATGATTTTTTTTTTTTAAAACTGAAGAGCCAAGAATTAGTTAAATGCCAGATGTGGAGCAGATGTGGAGCGGGGTGATGGGGAGAAGATAGAGCCTTGGATGAGATGGTTTAAGGACTTTTATTCCCGACTAGCACCACCCTGGCTGAGACTGTTGGTAGGCCCCCACGTTTTCACCCAGTCTCTATTTTTTTCTGCATGGGCTCTGCATGGTTTTCCTGAGAGCCCTCCAGCAGTGGAGCTGGCAGCTCCTGCAGGAATGGGTCACAGCATCCCTGTGTCTGCTTGTTCTAAAGATTAAGAGTGGTTTGTCTGAGGAGGATATTTTAATCCTGCCAGCTTCTGTCAGCTATAGTGAGCAGGACTCTGTCAGAGCCCTCAACTTTCCTGCACGGGCCAGGAGCCCACTGGCAGAACCTCAAATGTGCCGTGGGAGCAGACAATTACCACTGCAGGGCTCTTTCTCTTCAGGCTGGCCACAGCTCCAAAAATACCCGGCTTGTATATTGTGGTAATGTGTTGAACAGAACCAAAGATTCCCCCTCTCTGTCTTCATGCTCTGCAGGGAGGGGAAGGCACGCTTCGCTTATTTTTTAAACTTGTTTATTTCATGAAATGCTGTTACAAAAAGCAGCAGGTGTGCTCTCGGCCAACATGGCTTCTATTCCCCGGACAACAGATCCTCATCTCTCCTATTGATGGCAAATGGCTTGTGACCAGCTCTGGTGATCACGGTGTGCGTTTATCCATGAGATATCTTGCAGATATGTGTGTGACAGGTTTTCAGAGCTCACCTAAAAGCTTTACAACTCTGGCTGATACTCATGCTTTCCATCATGCAGGGTGAGAGTTCTTACCACCTTTACCTATGCCAGGTGGCCAAACGTAGCGAGAAAGATCTTTCACCACCACCTCATCACTGTGACACTGCACAGATGCTGTGGACATGGAGTAAAAGATCCACCCAGCCCATTTGCTCATGGCTTCTCTACAAAATTCACAGTCGGGGTGCCCACAGACCCTGCCAACAGAGCATTTAGGTCATGTTACTTAAGTGATCAAAGGAAAGCTAACTTCCCCTTCCCTGCCAGGAAACTTCAGGCTCTGGCTGAGATAGTAGCCACAGCACCAAAGATGAAAAGCCAGTAACTGATTTATTATTGGGCAGATACATTATCACAAAGGGCTGTAGCAGGAGTCTTTCATAAAGAAAATACAGAGCAAAAATATTTCCAAAGGCTTATTCCTGAAAATAAAGGGGGTGATACTCTGCTCAGGCCCCCTGAAGAAATCTGGAACTACCAGTAATTATCACGTGCTGTGCTTATAATGCTTTTATCCAACATTTAAAGCCCTCGAGGGTCAGCCTGAGGCAGCACTGGGAGACCGTGACAGAACTTGCTTGACTGGGTCTGGTAGCTCTGATAGTATCCAAGTGCTTCAGTAAGTGCCTACTCCCAGATGGATAAAAAGAGCTCAGCCCTTTCTTCCTAAATCTCACAAAGTCCCCTTGAACCACTCCTGTAGAAGGCTTCTTACCCCTGCTAACAAGCATGACGGTCCCCTCCATCTCAAAAGCTTGTCACCGTTCATTTCTACTCACCATTTTCTGTATCACCATTTGTCCTTCTTCTGAGAGCACCGTACCTCAGTTTGTACACCTCTGTCACCCACATAGGCACTCAAAATCATCAAAGAGAGGCATCTCGAGAACATCTGAGTGGGTCACAGAGTGACCACGTACCACGTGGCCAGCAAGCTGCTCCCTCAGAGTAACGTTCAGTTCAAGCAGAGGGAAGGATGCCACCCCTGCCCCTCCACGTGCGTGGACACACACATGCAGCCACATTCCCCACACTTCAGGAACTCTCCGAGACACCACAAACCACAGCTCCGTGTGGACAAAATTCAGAGTTCAGTTGCTGATACATCAACAACACCATCCTTCTATTAGTGCTGGATCCCAGTGAGATCTACCCTTTAATTGGAAGGCTTAAGATACAGCCACCATTCAAGGAGGACCCCATGCACCCTCTCCCACCTCCCACCAGCCTTTTGGTTGCTTTCAGAAGTGTAATTTTCTCTGATTTGTTGTGGAACTGGAGAAGGATACTTGGTACTTGCTGGATAATACATCTTTCCAGGCAGAAGATATCTGTCGCAGCAAGATCATTCCTGAAAACTTCTCTCCTCTCTGTTTTCTGCACTGCCGAAAGAAACCATCAGAGTCTCTTGCTTCTCTTCCGCGGGTGTTCCCTTAAAGGAAAAAAATAAAAAAGGACTGGCCGGCTGCCAAGCTGTGGAGGCAGATAAATATCCCGGGGTTGTGCCGAGGCGGCTGCCGAAGCGGTAGCAGCAGCCCCCTCTGAGAAGGGCCGGGAGCAGCCGGGGAGATGTCGCATTTTGGAAGCATCTCCCAGCCTCTGCTGCCTTCTCCCCGGCCGAGCAGATTGCGGGGTGTCCTCAGCGCTGAGCGGGGCTGGCTCAGCGTGCTGCCCTGCGGACCCGAGCACGGCATCGCAGCCATTCCGGACACCTCCTCCTTTTGTCCAGAGAAAGCGGCTCCCACCGCAGCCACGCACAGGAGCCAGCCCAGCAGCTCCAGCGCCAGCCGCCGGCCTGGCCCTCGGTGGTGGCCCCACGCCGGGCAGGAGACTCTTCCCTTCTCTTTGTGAGAAAGGGGCAGGCAAGCTCATACAGAAGGCAGGGCTGAAGGAATGTCCTGGGTCT